ATATTATAATCACTTAATGTTATTAAAGGTAAAAAAATAAAATTGAAATTTATTAGATAATTATTAATTAAAAAATGTGACCACAAATTAAAAAATTAAAAAGGATAAATTTGTCAATAAAATTAAAAACTTTAAATTCGCTAGCGGTTTGGTACAAAAAGTTATATAAACTAACTTTTTCAATCAGCTAACGGTTTGGATTCTATCCGCTATCTGTTTGTCTCAAATCGCTAAATAAAAATTTTACCAAACACTTTATTTGTAGCGGTTTTGAAATATATAAATTTATCGAACACCTATATTTAGCGGTTTAGATAAAACCGTTAACCATTACCCCAAAACTGCTATACCAAACGAATCTAAAAATACAATCATAACATAATATTAATTGAGTTTATAAGGTACATTATTGTATAATTATATATTATAATAGTTTAGATTTATTTCCTATACTATTAATTTCTAGAATTGAATTATATTTTTTAACTATTGATTATTTTTTAAAAGTTTATTAGGTATTTTTTTGAGAATTTTAAGAAAAATTTTGTTATTATAGTAGTTTTCTATATAGTTAAAATGGATAACGTTAGGGACCGACTATTAGTAAGTCGGTAGAGGGACACCAATAGTTTTTTCCTTTTTTAAATGTTAAATTTATTATTTAATCTATACTTTTAAAAATTCAAATTTATTTTTGTCTTTTTATTTTTTTAAGTTAAAAAATTTAAACTTATGTGGTTAGAGTTAAAATCAATTTTAGGATGTTAGGGTTTATATTTTTTAAGATTTAGTGTTTATATTATTTTAGGGTTGTGTTTAAGATGTTAGAATTTAAATTTTTTAAGTTCAGTATTTTATAATTTTAAGGTTTAAATTTTTTAAAATTTAGTGTTTAATGTGCTTAGGATTAAATTTTTAAGATTTAAAAGATTTAAGTGTTTAATATTTTAAATAATTAAAAATTTAAAATTGTAAGACTTAAAAATAAAATAAAAATATCAAATTTGAAAAGTAAAAATAAAAATGTAATAGGTACCAGTATGCCTGGAGACCGATCACTCTCAATGGCCTTCCTCAAAAATAAAACTAGCCGATATTATTGCCTAACCATCGACAAATTAGTTCTGGGAGCCCATTTTGTTCCAGCCCAATAAAGTACAAATAGGAGCTGGAGAATGTACAGGTTCGGCTTGCTGTAGCCCATTGAATATTTTCCACTCCCAGGTC